AAAATAAATTAACTCATAGCTTCATAAATATCCATTGCAAAAAGATCAAAATTATATCACTAGATAGAGAATCAAAAGACAATTCTAATCATATATAGAGAAGTTCCAAATTCGATTTTTGAAACAGTCATATAATGAAAAAAAAGATCATATATGACATGCATGAGCTAACTTGCGTGTGGGTGTGGGCACGGATGTGAGTATGAGTGTTCATGTGACAGCATAAAAAACCCATCCACAACCACATGCAAAGACACCCGACCGACATGATTTATCAGTCAGTTCCGATATTCCCACCCATTGTTCTGAACTCATCATCCATTTCAAAACAACAACAAATACACCATTAAATAGAGAGTTTAATTCTCTACAAGATGGTGTACTTGCAAGAGACTGAATCCATTTGAGATTCAGTCGGGAAAGGGAAAACAAGGACCCGAGTGCCAGGATTCATCACCGAATTCAGATATTGGGACCGAATGTTGTGAACTCACCATGCATTGCAAAACAACAAGAAATACACCATCAGATGGGGAATTTAATTCTCTACAAGCTGATGTATTTGAAATACAGACAATGGATTTCGAAACGGGTTCGAAAAAGGAAAAAATGACCCGAGTGACATGATGCATCAATGAGTTCAGATAGTGGGGCCCAATGTTTTGAACTCATGATCTACTGCAAAACAACGGCAAATACACCATCTTGTAGATAACTAAATTCTCTATCTAATAGTGCGTTTGTTGTTGTTTTGCAATGGATTTTCAGGTCACAACATTGCGAACCAACATCTGAACGCAGTGATGGATCATGTCACTCTGGCCCTTGTTTTTCCTTTCGCGACTCCATTTCAAAATCGATTCTCTCTATTCCAAATACACCATCTTGTAGAGAATGCAATTCTCTATCTAATCGTGTATTTATTGTTCTTCTGCAATGGATGGTATGGTCACAAAATTGGGTCCCAATATCTGAACTCGCTGACGAATCATGTCACTCCGGTCCTGTTTTTTCCTTTCCCGACTCCATTTCAAAATCGATTTTCTCTATTCCAAATACACCACCTTGTAGAGAATTCAATTCTCTATCTAATAGTGTACTTGTTGTTTTGCAATGGATGGTGAGTTCGCAAAAATGGGTGCCAATATCGGAACTCATTGATGAGTCATGTGGGTGGGGACGCTTTGTTCCTTTCGCAACCCCATGTCGAAATCGATTCTCTGTATTCCAAATGCACCATCTTGTAGAGAATTAGATTCTCTCTCTAATGGTGTGTTTGGTGTTGTTTTGTAATCGATTTTGAATTCACAACATTGGGAACCAATGTCTGAACTCGCTGATGAGTCATGTCAGTCGGGTCGTTTTTATCCTTTTCTGACCCATTTCAAAATGGATTGTCTCTATTTGAAATACAACATCTAATAGAGAATTCAATTCTCTATCTAATGGTGTATTTATTGTTCTTTTGCAATGGATGATGAGTTCACAATATTGGGTCCGAATATGTGAATGGGCTGATGAATCATATCAGTGGGTTCTTTTTTTCCTTTGGTGACCACATTTCAAAATCGGTTATCTGTATACCAAATACACAATCTTGTAGAGAATTCAATTCTCTATCTAATGGTGTATTTGTTGGATTTTTGCAATGGAAGATGAGTGGACAAAGGCCTTTCTCAATATCCGAAATGAGAGTGTCGGAGTGCCACTCAGCTATTTTTTTTCTTTTGGAACCCACTTCAAAAATGGATTCTCTATACAAGAGTTATATGTTCTTGTAGAGCATTAAATTCTGCATCGAGTGATGCATTTTTTTTCTTTTTGCAATTGAATCTCATTTGGGAAAAATCGATAACAATGTCGGAACTCAGTATATTGAGATGTCATTCACCTCTTTTTTTCTGATTGGAACACGTTTGGAAATTCATTCTCTATATAAGAGTTGCATACTCTTATAAATTATTCAATTGTGCATGTAGTGATTTTTTTTTCTTTTGCTTTGAATTTTTCGTTTGGATGAAAAAGTTTCGTGTGTTAGTGTTTTATGCTCATTGAATGGTTGTTAGGTGGAAGCCATGTCCATGGTTTCGTCCTCCATAGTGGAGTATTTATGTAGACCATCAGTGATTGGCTGATGTGTCGATCAATGAGAATTTTTTTTCCTTCGTGGTAATTGTTCGTGTTCGTGCTAGCTTCTCATCGATCTCTAGAGGATATAATTCTGCAACGAAATGATATATAGCTTACATTAAGAATCCATTTCCGTCTGGGTGATAACCCCCCCAATTATGACATCAGTCATAGGAAAATTGCAAAAAAATTTGAAAAAAATTTATTCCTTGAGTAAAAGATCTATTGCCCGAAGATAAGCTGTACATCATTTTGTAGAGAATTTAATTCTGCATCGAACGATGTATAGCTTATATTGAGATTTCATTTCCATCGGGGTGATATCTCCCCAATTTTGACATTAGTCATAAAAAAATTGCAAAATAATTTGAAAAAAAATTACTTTTATAGGCAACCATCCATCGTCCGAAGATAAGCTATACATTATTTTGTAGAGAATTTAATTCTGCATCGAATGATGCGTAGCTTATATTAAGAATCCGTTTCCGTCGGGGTGAAATCCCCCCAGTTATGAGATGAGTCATCAAAAAGCTGCAAAAAAAATATGAAAAGAATTTTTTCAAATTTTGCTGCAATTTTTTTATGACTCATGTCATAATTGGGGTGTTATCGCCCAGACGAAAATGGATTATTAATATAAGCTATACATCATTCGATGCAGAATTAAATTCTCTACAAATTGATGTGTAGCTTGTCTTCGGACAATGGATCCTTTGCTCAGAAAATAAATTTTTTTTGAAATTGTTTTTGTAATTTTTTTATAACTCATGTCATAATTGGGGGGATATCGTCCCAATGGAAATGAAATCTCAATATAAGGCATACATCATTGGATGCAGAATTAAATTCTCTAGAAGCTGATGTATACCTTATCTTCGGGCAATGGATCATCTTTGCAAAACTAAAGTTCTTTCTAGTCATTTTCTACGTTTTTCTATATCTCATCTCATAATTGATCGAGAATCACCAGGATGGAAATGAAATCTTATTTTGACCTATACATCAATCGATAGAGAATTAAATTCTCTACAAGTTGATGTATAGCTTATCTTCGGACAATGGATTATCTTTGGAAAAATATAGTTCTTTCCTATTAATTTTTTCGCTTTTTCTATGACTCATCTCATAATTGATTGAGAATCACCAGGATGGAAATGAAATCTTAATTTGGGCTATACATCAATCCATAGAGAATTAAATTCTCTACAAAATGGTATATAGCTTATCTTCGGACAATGAATCGTTTCCTGAAGAAAAAATTTTTGTTTTAGATTCTTTTGCAATTTGTTTATGAGTTACGTCATAATTGTGGGCATATCACCGCAAAGGAAATGCATTCCTAATATAAGTTATAGATCATTCGACGCAGAATTAAATTCTCTGTAAAATGTTGTGTAGCTTATCTTCGGGCAATGGATGGTTGCCTATAAAATTAGATTTTTTTAAAAACCTTTTGCAATTTTTTTATGACTCATGGCATACTTGAGGGTATCTCACCCCCGAACGAAATGGAGTCTTAGCATAAGCTATACATCATCCGATGCAGAATTTAATTCTCTACAAAATGATGTATAGTTTATCCTCGGACAATGGATGGTATCCACAGGGATTAAATTTTTTAAAAATTTTTGGCAATTTTTTTATGACCCATGTCATAAATGAGGGGATATCATCCTGATGGAAATGGATTCTTAATATAAGCTATATATCAGTTCGTTGCAGAATTATATTCTCTAGGGAATGATGTATAGCTTATCCTCGGGCAATGGATGGTTGCCTAAAACATTAAAGTTTTTTCAAATTTTTTGACAATTTTTTTATGGCTCATGTCATAATTGGGGGGGATATCACCTCGATGGAAATGAAATCTTAATATAAGCTATACATCATTCGATGCAAAATTTAATTCTCTACAAAATCATGTATAGCTTATCTTCGGGCAACGGATGGGTGCCTCAAAACTTGAGCTTTTTTCAAAATCGGTCGTGGTAGCTTCACATGAATGGATCCTCGATGTAGTGGATGCTCGTAATTTTTTTTTTGTTGGAGTTGATGAGAATTTGTTTTTTTTATATAGTTTAGATGATATATTTTGAAGAGATGATCGGATTTTGTCGGTTTTTATGAAAAAACGTGTGGTTGCTAAGGAAGTTTTCGATGGTAATATATGGAATAGGTATGGTAAATTATGCTCGAGCGCTGATTGGTCGACTGGAAGATCGGTCCTGATTGGTCGTCGTGCTAGCTTCACATCGATCAAAAAATACATGATATGTCTTTTTTATAGCACCTTTTGAGAAACATGCTATATAAAAAAGAAAAAGAATCAAAAAAAGAAATTCAAATCAATTGAGATCCCGGCTATAAGATAAAAAAAAAAGAACATTAAGGGTTTAGTCTGCAATAGCATATCAATGAAGCTCCCGAACAATGGAGCTGTTCTCCAGTAGACTTTTACAAGGAAAATGTTTTGATTAAGAAAACATCGACATTGCATAGATAAAAAAAGTTGATTGATAATGTTTGCAAATAATAAAAATTTCGCACCATTGCCAGAATATATAAGTTTAGTGCAAAGTAACAAATAAAACTAACAATAGCTTTTTTTTTGAAAGTACGATGATAATCGGATCATTTCATACTTATAAGCAAATAAAGCGTCATTCAATAGTATCCAAAAGATTAGTAACGGGGACATTTATTTAGTTTTGAATTTAATTATTAGAAATCTACTCAAAATACTGACAGAATATTATTTTTGTCATTCTCATAAAAAAAAAGTTTTTATTGAAAATATCTGGGTTATTGAATGTTTCCACTTCCGTTATCAAAACTTCATATAAAGCTTACCATTTTTAACATCGAATCTTTTAGTTAGGCTGTAGAACAAAAAAAACAGAAATGATTAATTAATTCCATTCAACTTGAAATGTACCTCATTTCTGAGAAGTTTTCCCTATAATATCAACTCATAATGACATAAGGTCTATTTCAATGAAACACTCCCTGAAAATGATGAAATATAAATGATTCTTGCTATTCATGTATCTCATACTTTAACGTGTAGTGTATATGATTTTTCCTACTTTACAAAATAGGTTTCAGTCGGACGAGTGAAAAATAAAATGATATAAGTTGCTGTTATAAAAGTAAATCGGGAATCATACTGCAAATTTTATTATAATTTTGATTTGATCAGAGAATGATTTATTCATGTTGTTACTGTCACCTCTTTATGTTATAATGTTTTATTATCTGTAACACATATATGACTAACAAACACTCAAATGTGAATGAATAAAAAAAAATGACAAAGAGAAAAGAATTATAACAAAATAAAAATGATATTTGACTGTAATCAACATCGACTGAAACAAGATAGGTCACACTTTTGTAAACAGAAATGAATATTTGCATTTTTCTGTTCTAGAAAAAAAAAGCCGCACACAATTTATAGCGTGTGTGCATAATTATTTTGTGAAATCTATATAATAAGAGAAGAATAAAGAATGGTTTGGTTGATTCATCATGTGAAAATTGCATGTTCATAAGTAAGAATAATTTGTTTTCCGAGAAAATCAGCTTAACAATCAGCATCAATGAGAACAAGAAAATGTTCGAACTCTAAACAAATAGATGTTTTTTGCTA